ATATATATATATATATATTAAAGGAAAATAAAATATTGGATCGTGAAATTAAAAAGAAACATTTTGTATACTCTATCTGCAAGTATTTATTAGCCAATGGCCGGTAACTGAACCTAAAACTTATTTAAAGAGTGAATGAAGAGACTATGTCAGCTTACCAAATAGGTAAATATATATTATAAAACTTAGCTCTCAAAATAGCGAGACCACTCGATTGTTTAGGTAACATACCTATAACCTATTTGTGTTTTCCACTTGACTAAAGTTCAACCTTTTGAACATTCATCATTATGCCAGAGGAATCGAAGAATAATAGCATCAACATCATTGTTCGTAGATCGATTTAGGAAATCATATGTTTGGCATTGTGTTAGTTAGACTGAAGGATAGGACCAAGGTTGCTAAGGTTAGCTTTCGTGCTTGTTAAGCAAATTTCCCTTAGAAATAAGTTTCAATTTATTTTATTAATAATGAAATTAGTCTCATTTATTTTTTAATTTAATAAACATACAGAAAACATTAGATATATTTAAGTGTATGTTTATTTTATTTTATTTTAAAATTATACAATTGGAATTATTTTTTATAGTATAATATTAATGATAGAATGCACAATATAAAAATAAATAAATGAGTCTGAAAATGTAATTAAAATGATTGAATAAAAAATTTTAAGAGTTAAAAATAAACAAAACAAAATTACATATTTTTATCCATAAAATAGATTTAAAAATTATATAAAATATCATATAAACATGTAACTTTTCTCATTTTGCTTTTATCAGCACTTCAATACTGGCAGAATAATCATAGGTTAGATTAGGTTTAACTTTTTATTTCTTTCTTATTAAGATTTTACATCCTCTGAAAATAGAGTCTGAATTATCCTTCGAATATTAAATTATTAATATTTTTTAATAAAATATTATAAAATAATTATTTAATTTAATATTTTAATCTTTAAAATGATTTTCGAAACTTTTTATCATTTTTCTATTAAGATTAATTTAAAAATACATATTGTATAAATTTAAAATTTTGTATCAGGGGCAAAGAAATATCTGGGTGTAACTCTAGTATTAGACTTTGACAGAATGTCACGAGAATTAAAATCCAGCATTAATTAATCTAAAGTAAAGCACAAGAATTATTTAACTTTTGTTTGTTTTAACGTTCACAACTTTACAAAGTCTCTCTCACCTCTAGCTCATTTCACAATTATAATGTAATAATGACTTTGTTTACAATTAATCTCTTATAACTACTCAGGTTTATATTTTAATTGCTATCTAATCTCTATCCTTCTCATTAACTAACTCAACTATCAGACACGTACACGTATAAATATAACTTTATCTCTACCCAAAAAGAGAGAAAATTGATGAACCATTCTGTTTGCCTTAAACACGTCAAATATATATATGGATTTTTTTTTTCTAGGACGCGAATAGAAAATTAGGGTCAAAACTCGTTAAATTATCTTTAATTATTAGAAATGATTTTGAGAATTTTTTTACTAAAAATAAATACTATTTTCAGTATAAAAAAATTAAAATACTTCTAAGTTGATATTCAAATATCTTCATAGATTATTATTATTTTGTAAGTTGTTTCTTGACAGAGTTAAATACTTTAATTATTATGAAAAAAAAAATCACACATATTATTTAAATAAAAGGATAAACATAAATTTATATACAATTATTTTCGGAATGAAAAGACTGTAGCATTTGCGAACTATTACAAAAGGATTAAAGACGCGGAGAAGCAAGCTGCAAAACGGAAATAAAATAAGAAAAGGATGAGACTCATAATTTTTAATTTTTTTATAGATTGAAGAGAAAGCCAA